ATAGTGGCCAAAAGGTGAAACTAGAATGGTGATTACCAGAGGCTGGGGGAAAAGAGGATAGTGTGTTGGTGTTTAATGGATACAGTTTCAGTATGGGGTAATGACAAATTCTGCTGATGGATGCACAACAACATGAACAGGCTTAATGTCACTGAAATGTATACTTCAAGATGGTTAAACTTAGGCCAGGGGCAAGGCAGTGGCTCACGTCTGTAATCCCAGCACTTTGGGAGGCCAAGGCAGGTGGATCACCTGAGGTCAGGAGTTCCAGACCAGCCTGACCAATATGATGAAACCCCGTCTCTACTAAAAATACAAAAATTAGCCAAGCCTGGTGGCATGTGTCTGTAATCCCAGCGACTCGGGAGGCTGAGACAGGAGAATCGCTTGAACTCGAGAGGCGGAGGTTGCAGTGAACCGAGATTGCACCATTGCACTCCAGCCTGAGCAACAAGAGCAAAACTCTGTCTCCTAAATAAATAAATTAGATGGTTAAACTTGTTTAAAAGCAAAACAAAAAACTTCTACCACTCACTTCCCATAGCAAAAAATAAAGCCCAAGAGCCTTAATTTGACCATAATAATGTATTTTTCCATATGATTCTTCTTGCGTTCCCTCTTACTCTGTGCTTCCTCAACTGATCCCTCGCTTCTTCTATTTGCTTTAGTGGCTGCCTACACGTCTTCCCTAATTCTACTCATTTTTCAAGACCCAGTTGAAATGTCACATCCTTGCAAATCTTTCCCGAACTGCTCCCACTATTTCACACTAACTGGAAGTAAGCACTCCCTTTTTGAACTCCAGCAGCACATAAACTATATCTTTTAGTGCTGCCTTTTTTTTTTTTTTTTCAGACGGAGTCTCGCTCTGTCACCTAGGCTGGAGTGCAATGGCACGATCTCGGCTCATTGCAACCTCTGCCTCCCGGGTTCAAGTGATTCTCCTGCCTCAGCCTCCTGAGTAGCTGGGATTATAGGCACATGCCACCACGCCCAGCTAATTTTTGTATTTTTAGTAGAGATGGGGTTTTACCATGTTGATCAGGCTGGTCTCGAACTCCTGACCTCATGATCTGCCCATCTTGGCCTCCCAAAGTGCTGGGATTACAGGTGTGAGCCACTACGCCTGGCCAGCGCTGCTTTCCTTTTAGGCCAAAGGCACACAATGAGATAGAAAGGTGTGGCTTAAGGAAGTCCAGCTGGCTGTCTAGACAGGTCCCGTTATACAGTGCTATAACCTTATGGAAATTACCATGATAGAAGAACTGATGTTTAACCTTGCAAACTCAGAAACCTAATTTTAATAGTAAGCAGAAAGTTGAACCATTTCCTGGAGGTGGGGGGTGTCTTATATTTGCTAAGCTCACAGAAACTTTTATATAAAGAGGAATCTGATTAGTTACAATGAAAAATACAATTATCAAAAGAACTAGAATCCTCTAGGTGGCAGATCACTTAATTCTGTTCCTATTGCCAAGACACTTGCTGGGTGAACATAGAGGAAAGCATGATCTTTTTTTTTTTTTTTTTTTTTGAGACGGAGTCTTGCTCTGTCGCCCAGGCTGCAGTGCAGTGGCACAATCTCAGCTCACTGCAATCTCCACCTCCCGGGTTCACACCATTCGAGGAAAGCATGATCTTAAGAAGCATTTCTTAGCTGAGGCAGTCTGAGATATTCCCATCCACTACAGAGATGATATGGACAAGGAAATCCTAATGCTCAGTGTGGTTTAACTGAGATGAGACTTAGAGGGGCAATGGTAGTGCTAGCCTTTGTGACTGCCTTGTTTTGGACTGCCATGGCTGAGCAAGTCCTTTTGTTCACAGACTTTCTCCAAACAGGGTACAGAATGGCTGACAGGATTGATTAGGTTCCATTTATTAAATTACAATCATATCTGGCGTCTTCAGATTCCTCCCATACGCCCTTGATCAGAGTTTGTGTTTTTTTTTGGTCATGTTTGTAAAAAAGGTCTTGGCTTGGGCGCGGTGGCTCAAGCCTGTAATCAAAGCGCTTTGGGAGGCCAAGACGGGCGGATCACGAGGTCAGGAGATCGAGACCATCCTGGCTAACACAGTGAAACCCTCTCTCTACTAAAAAATACAAAAAACTAGCCGGGCGAGGTGGCGGGTGCCTGTAGTCCCAGCTACTCGGGAGGCTGAGGTGGGAGAATGGCGTAAACCTGGGAGGTGGAGCTTGCAGTGAGCTGAGATCCGGCCACTGCACTCCAGCCTGGGCGACAGAGCGAGACTCCATCTCAAAAAAAAAAAAAAAAAAAGTCTTGGCTTACCCCCATTGATAGCTAATTTCATGGCTGTATTAGTCTGCTTAGCTAGCATGTTATGCTGCAACAACAACGAAAACAATCTCAGTGGCTTACAAAAAAGGTTTATTTATTGTGCACGCAACATTACAGGTTATGTGTGTCAGCTATGGCTCCACACATCTTCACTCTGGGACCAAAGCTGAAGGGGTAGCTCTATTTAGGACATGCCGCTCTTGTGTCAGAGGAAAGATAATATGGCAAAATCATAAGATAGCTCATAATTTCTGCTCAGAAGTGGTTCATGTCATTTCTTTCTTTTTTTGAGACAGAGTCTTGCTCTGTCGCCCAGGCTGGAGTGCAGTGGCGCGATCTTTGCTCACTGCAATCTCTGACTCCCAGGTTCAAGTGATTCTTCTGCCTCAGCCTCCCAAGTAGCTGGGATTGCAGGCACACGCCACTACACTCAGCTAATTTTTTCATTTTTAGTAGAGACAGGGTTTCATCATCTTGGCCAGGCTGGTCTTGAACTCCTGACCTCGTAATCCACCCACCTTGACCTCCCACCGTGCCTGGACGGTTCATGCCATTTCTACCGATATTTCATTGGTCAAAACAAGGCCAAGCTTGACCACATTAGGGTGAGAAGTCTTTCACCCTCATCTCCTAGGGACAGGCCAGATAGCAAGGGCTTTAGAAAGGGAAGGGCAGAGGCTATTGATAATACAGACAATAGCAAGGACTAATATTAGGCTTATATGTACCAGTTGACTGTTATCAGTTATAACATTGACTATTAAAATACTGAAATACTCTAGTACTATCTGGTAAATAGGTGCTGTCCCAAACCTCCGGACCACTCCCTTTCCCTGGGATCCCCTGGGACCTACTAGTCACAAACCAGCAACTGAAGGGTTAACACCTAGCACACAGGGATACCTCCAGGATCCTAGCTGCATTTCTAATTCTGCTTCCTCTATGCTTGAGCACTACTTGCTGTTAAATATATTTAATATCAATCTTAGCTAATTTCCTCTATGTAGATTTTTATTTCTGAGGGCAACCCAATTTCCAGGCTCTTGGAAGGAAATGGACTGCACTCCCTAAGTGTGGTCAATACTTAATTATAACAATAATCACAAATAATAACTTGTGCTGCTTCATTGTAACTAAATGTACATTTTTACATTTCTTTGGCAAGCATAGTATATGCAATAATTACTCAATAAATATCTGTAGAGACTTACCTCACCTTTTTCCATTAGCTACATCTGTCTCTACAATCTCAACATACTATTTTCTTATTTGGAGTCTCCCGGTTTTTAATTTTATGCCATTTCTCATGTCTGAAAATGTCATTATAAGTAACTTTTTTTTTTTCTGAGACAGGGCCTTGCACTGTCGCCCAGGCTAGAGTGCAGCGAGACGCTCATAGCTCTTATCAGTAACTTCTTTACAACACTTCTGCAATTTAGGAAGCACTCTCACATTATTTCATTCACTCTCCCCAACATTACCAAGAGTGAGGAATTAGATCTTTTTATAGATGAAGGAATTGGGACTCCCTGAAGTCAACTGTCTCATAGTTACGTTTTGTTCATTCATTCATCAAATATTGAGTGCCTGATGTGAGATTTACTGAAATTAGATTTGAGAACAATTTTCCTGAATTCAAGTCAAGGGTTTATTCCACTATTCTCAATTACTTTATCACCAGGGTTATAAACCCAAAGAAACTGAGTAACAGTGTGATTTTGTTGAGGACTCACGCAACATTAGTCTCAGAAACGCTCCAATGTCATTTGTAAAATTCAAGGTTACCATCAGCAGAGGCAGTCATTCCTCTCAGGGCTTGTTACCTAATGCACTAACTCTCATTGCAGGTAATTCCATTCAAGACACATTTGATGACTATATCTACAGGTTTTGAAGTTGTTCATATTGGGTTTCGACACTTACTAGCTGTGGGGCCTTAGATCAATTACTTAAACCTTTTTGAGTTTCAGTTTTATCATTTGTAAAATGGATATAATCCTGATGCCTTTGGACCAAGTGGTCATGGAAATGAAGAGAGATAGTATTTAAAAGTCCATGCTCATAGTAGCTGTGGTTTCCAACTGCGTGATGAAGTTTTAAAATCTGCATTCAAATGAGAACAACTATGTCGACGTAAAGTTACAAGCTAACTATTCTTGGTAAGTACTGTTCTTTATTCTGGAGAATATCACTTTACAGTTTGGTGTTAATTGCTCTTTTATAAATTTAAGGTGCCAATAGCTGTCTACTTGAACGGCATGCTAAATTTGGCATGCCGTCGTCCCAGCGCTTTGGGAGGCCGAGGCGGGCGGATCACGAGGTCAGGAGATGGAGACCATCCTGGCTAACACAGTGAAACCCCGTCTCTACTAAAAAAAATAATAATAATAAAAATTAGCCGGGCATGGTGGCGGGCGCCTGTAGTCTCAGCTACTCGGGAGGCTGAGGCAGGAGAATGGCGTGAACTCGGGAGGCGGACCTTGCAGTGAGCCGAGATCACGCCACTGCACTCCAGCCTGGGCGACAGAGCAAGACACCATCTCAAAAAAAAAAAAAAAAAAAAATTTGGCATGCCATGTCGACCTTCATCCCCCAGTTCTTTCTCCCCAAATTAAAAACACGAATACGCACACACGCCACTCCTTAGTTCCTAAAGTTCAAGGGCACGCGCACACACCTACTTATCTTTTAACATTCAAGCTCGCACCAAAGACAGATCCACAAGGGTGGGAAGCGTGGTGGAGGTCACCTGGCAGCGCCTCCAGATCCCCGAAAGGGGGCGGGGTCAAAACTCTGAGATCTCGAGCTTCCGAAAGAGGGCGGTGTTAAAACTCCCAGCTCTCATTCCGCTTCACTCTGTCGTCGCCCCTTCCCAATTCTCGCGAGACCTCAAACAGCAGCGCTTCTGCGCGCTGCACGATACTGGGAGTCCAGGCGCCAGGGGAGGGGGAGGGGAAAAGCGGAGACGGTGCAAACGGCGTGGCCGCCATCTTGCTTGTGCCCCCGCGTCGCGCGCGCTCCGTTCTCCGTGACGCACGCTTCCCCCTCCCCTCCGCCGTGCCTGGGCCTCTGCATTGCCCGACTCCGAAGGAGCGCGGGGGCGGCTCCTACTCTTCCTGGACTCCTGAGCAGAGGCGTGTGAGTGTGCGGGAGGTTCTGTGCGAGGGTGATAGGGGAGCGGCGACGGGGGGAGGGGCAGCGCTTCCCGCCTTCGCCAGAGACCTCACTTCCTCGCGCGGCCGCTGCTGTAGCTCGGTCCGGCCTGCTCGCCGCCATGTTGTGCTCTTGCCTGGCCCGCCGCTGTCGCCGCCGCCGCGCTCGTGTGGTCCGTGTGCCTCGTCGGCCCGGCCCGCGGGCTTTCTCCCATTGGCGGAAGGCGACGGCGGGGGGGCTCGCTCGTGATTGGTCGGTGGCGGGGAGGCCGCGGACCTGGCACCTTATTGGTCGCGCCGGCTCCGGCCTAGGGGGTGATGAAGGAATCTGAGGCTGCGGGGATGCGCGCGTCTTGGGCTAGGGCAGCTGGGGCAGTGACCCCCTGCGGCGCAGGCGTGGGCTTGCGGCAGGAGGGCGAGCCTAGAGGCTTTAAGGGGAAAGAGAGGGTGATGGCCTGGCAGGTACTTTGGGGGTCGCTTAGGCCACGGCCTGGAATGGGGGACACTCACTTTCAGAGGTGCTTTTCCTGATACATGTATGGCGCAAGATGGGGGTGTGCAGGCCCTCACGGTTCCAGGCCTGGAAACACCGAAACCCAAGTGACAGGGTGAGAGGATCTGAGATCCTCTCGAAGGGATGCTAGTGTGACCTAGTTTGGAAGTGGCCCTGAAATCCACTGTGTGAGTGCATGGTGTAGGAAGAGAGGCATCAGGGCTAGGGGCATAGCTGAACGGTAGAATCAGATCAGGGATTTTGCTGGAGAGTGCAAGCATTTAAACACTGAGGTTTTGGTGGAGCCCTGGAGTCCAGAGTCAACGGACCTGGGATGTGATGTGAGGAGCAAGTAAACCGAGAGAGGGATCCTGTTGATAGGTGTGCTCTGTCCGAGCCTAGGAGGCACAGCATTAAGTAGTGTCAGATTTAAAGTGACTAAGTCTGATATAGGAAGGATTTTAGGGAATATTTTCGGACTGGGGAAGTGTATTAATAGAGCAGTTACAGATTTTGAGTCTCAGGACCATACAAGTAGTTTTGAGATATTGTATATGAAATTTGCTGCTCTGGGAAGGATACAGGTCATGGCTGAGTTTCCAAAGCTACATTAGCAAATATTAGGTACTTGGTAGTTATTTGTTGAGTAAATATTGTTAGGTTCCCCTTCAAGGGAAAGGGAGCTAGCCAGAAATTTTGAGTCTTGATTTATTTCCTTGTATATGTGCCTAGAAAGTACACCCACTCCCATGTGTACTTTGATTTTTTTGTTTGTTTTTTCAAATAAATAGCTCCAAACCAAAAAAAAGCCAGTGCATAGCTTCTTAAGGAACAGGACTTGTCGACACTTTCTGGTTTATATTCAAAAAGTTTTTATTCCAATCCAGAGTCATTCCAGTCAACTTGTTGGGGATATGTTCCTTTTCTACTGAATCTGAATCATAGTTACTTGTATTGCTTTACATTTGCTCCTTCCAATGTGTGAGGGCCATGGAAACACATTTATGTTAAATCTCTGTGTTTTCCTAATTCGTTTTTCCTTGTTTTTGTTAGGTAGTCCTTTTTAGCTTTAGATGGTACTCTTTTGTTTTCATACCAATTTCAAGAAACTCCTATCGTTTTCAAATTTAGTCAGTTTTGTGTGAATGCAACTACATTTTCTGGAGAAGGGAATTGATAAGCAGAAGAAGAGAATTGCTATTTTGGGGCACATTTTAACACCAGTAGGTAGGCATTATCATCCCCATATTGTAGATGAGGAAACTGAGGATCAGAGAGGTTACGTAGCTTGTCTATTGTCACTCAGTAAGTGGTTGAGCTGGAATTCAAACCCAGGTTGCCTCATGCCAGAGACTGTAATTTTATCGGCTACATCAGCTATCAACATAAACCTGACTAATCAAACTTCCAGATAATTTTATATTTCCAAATGGATCATCTACTTTGATTTCTGGGTGTTTAGAGTGTATTAAATGGAAGACTATAATTCGTAAGAATTTGTTGTGCTGCTTCAAGATTCAGACCACAGAATTGTAACAATATAGAATATGGGTTCTTCAGCTAGGTATTCAAATTGTACTCCTTGGCTTCTATTGTGAAAGGGAAGATTTACAAAGTAAATTGCTGCATTTTTCCTGAATCCAGGTAGATAATGGGGAAGAATATGTACAGAAACTTGAAGAGTGCATTCCTTAAAACCAAGCTTCAGAATATTACAGATAGTCTTCTGTGTATGGAGGTAATTTATGCCAAGCGGCAAGGAACTACCAAGTGCATAGTGTAAGGAGCTCACTGGAGAGGTTTTTCAAACATCACCAGTTCCTCAGGGTGTCCCCAAATACGAGGACGTATTCAAAGGCCTAGTACTTTCTTCAGACTGTGGGATATTGATTCTAGGATATGCTTATCCTGAAGAATGTGTAAAATTAAGACTGGATAGGACAAAATATTTGCAGTTCCAGTTTTGCATGGAAACCTTTACATCAGGGTTTGAGAGGAGACCAGTGAGTTGGAAATCTTAATTGCTTTATGTCTTGATGTGCTTAGGTGAAGCCCTCCCTCGTCTTTATTTACAATAATATTTCACTGTGGAAGAGAGAGGCAAAGCTACAAGTGAAAATAGGGTTTGCCATGCATTTCGTACATTGGTCATTTCAGGCTCATTTGGCTCAGTCATCAAGTTAACCAAATATGAAGAATGCTGTAGATCTATTATGATTTAGTTTCTTTTTTACTAAGGCTAGACAAGGTGATAAAAATGAGCGTATATGTACACCTTTTTTATTCAGCAGGCATTTCTGGAGCAACCTGCCCTTCAGCATTGGTGACCACCTTCATTCCATGTTAGCCCCTTACACCCGTGGCCACCTTGTTAAGATATGGAATTGACCACTCTAGAAATCTTGAACTCTCAGGAAATCTCAGTAGATCTGAGTTTATGTTGAAAACTTGTGAACCTCAGGTTTTTCTTCAAGCAGAAATTAAGCTGTATGCTTTATAGGCTGTGTCTATGGAATCTTATTTAATTCTTATGACAAATTATTCTGTTATCTCATTTATACTTACACATTTTTTCTTTGGTCAAAACTACTAGAGACTGGGTGCAGTGGCTCATGCCTCTGATCCCAGCATTTTGGGAGGCCGAGGCAGGTGGTATTTGAGGTCACGAGTTTGAGACCAGCCTCGCACATGTGATGAAACAAAATTACAAAAATACAAAAAATAGCCTGGCATGGTGGTGGGCGCCTGTAATCCCAGCTACCCGGCAGACTGAGGCAGGAGAATTGCTGGAACCCGGGAGGCGGAGGTTGCAGTGAGCTGAGATTGTGTCACTGCAATCCAGCCTGAGCAACAGAGCAAGACTCAGTCTCCCAAAAAATAAATAAAAATCCCCAAACCGTACTAGAGAAGATTTTACAAGGCATTTTTATCCCCTTTTAGTTTCAGAGAAATGTAAGGCAAAGCGAAATGAGGATTCAGACCACAGAATTGTAACCATATATGGGCTCACCCCATTCTATGTTAGGGAGCTATGCTGAGAGTCTTGTTTTGGGTTTTGTTTTTTGGGAGTTTTACTCTGTCACCCAGGCTGGAGTGCAGTGACGTGATCTTGGCTCACTGCAACCTCTGCCGCCTGGGTTCAAGCGATTCTCCTGCCTCAGCTTCCCAGGTAGCTGGGATTACAGGCATGCACCACAACACCCAGCTAATTTTTGTATTTTTAGTAGAGATGGACTTTCACCATGTTAGCCAGGCTGGTCTTGAACTCCCGACCTCACGTGATCCACCTGCCTTGGCCTCCCAAAGTGCTGGGTTTACAAGTGTGTGCCACCATGCCCAGCCAAGCTATGCTGGGTGTCTTTTTGAGGTAATTTTGAAATTTACATCTAAGGTACTGAGCCACTAGGATCTATGAATCAAACGCAAGGATACTATAGTTACTACTTTTACTGAATGCTTACAGTGTACCAGCTAGGATATAAATGTATTATGTATATCCTCATACACTATGAGGTAGATAATATAGTCACCCTCATTTTTACATGTGAGGCAACTGAAAAGTAATTTGCTTAAGGTCTCACAGCCAGTAAGTAACAGAGCCCAGATTCAGACACAGACACAGATTTGTAATTCTTTTTGTTGTTGTTGTTGTTGTTGTTTTTTGAGACGGAGTCTCGCCCTGTTGCTCAGGCTGGAGTGCAATGACATTATCTTGGCTCACTGCAACCTCCGCCTCCTAGGTTCAGGTGATTCTCTTGCCTCAGCCTCCTGAGTAGCCGGGATTACAGACGCCTGCCACCATGCCTGGCTAATTTTTTGTATTTTTAGTAGAGATGGGGTTTCACTATGTTGGCCAGGCTGGTCTGCAACTCCTGACCTTGTGATCCGCCTACTTCAGCCTCCCAAAGGGCTGGGATTACAGGCGTTAGCCACCGCGCCCAGCCACAGATTTGTAATTCTTAATTCTTATGTAAGTGAAGCCCTTACTCTTAAACACTGTGTTGAGACCCTAGAATGTTATGGGAAAAGAAAAAAGTCCTGGCTTCTTAGCTCAGGAAGTGAACTTCAGTTCTTTCAGGTGTGTCCTTTGTACTGAGACTTCAAAAGAGTGAGATGACCTTGGCAGGGTCACTTGGCTATGCAAGGGCAGAGCCAAATCTTGCCCACATCACTGGATTTCTAGATAGGTGCTCATTCCACTGGATAGCATTGACTCTCCTGTGGAAGCATTGACTTGATGGCAGAGATGACTTTAAGTGACAAGTTTACTTCATTCATGGGAATGAGAATGGCAGAGGACATTACTAGGGTCACAAATGACCTCCTTGAGGTCAATCCTGGCCCTCAGGCATACAACCAGGAAGAACATTCCTTTGCCAGTAAGTTGTTCTTTTCCATTCTGTTTCTTGTTCTCAGAGAAAACTGGTTTTGAGTTATCTGATGTCTTATAGTCTTTCTTTTCATTTTGTTTATTCAGTTTTTCATGCATGCACTGTCACAATTTAGGAAGGCTACAAGGTCATTTTAGTGTTTTCCTGCAGAGACTCAAAGCACTCAGCATAATTTAAGTAGATTAATTGCAGGAGGAAATGGATTTTTAAAACCGGCCAAAAAGTGCCTTTGGGAGAGGACGGTATTAGTTGCGGATTGGAGTCAGACCAAGGGAAGAATTCTGTCTCTGCAATGCATTTACCCTGACTGTGCTGGGGCAGGTTCTTAACTTGTTTCTTCCTCTGTGAAGTAATGACAATAATATCTACCTTTAGAGTAGTTATGAGAAATGAATATAATAGTGTCTGGTAGATGCCTGTCACTTAGTGGACCTTAACAAGTGAGAGAACACATTTTCGTTTTAGAACAGCGTGAAATCTGTCCT